TTTGTCGTTTGTTTATAGAAGTTCCCCTACTGGTTAATGAATTCATCCCCAACCGAAGCCTTTATAATCTCATGCATAATCAGAGTGATGATGATTTCCCCTTCACTTATAACTCGAGAATAAGAATAGCCATAGAGATAGCAGGGTCACAGGCATATCTACATTCTGAAATTTCAGTTCCCATCTTGCACAGAGATGTGAAATCAAGCAAGATACTTTTTGGATAAATATGTATAGCCAAAGCATCTGACTTGGGAACTTCGAGATCTATCGAAGTTGATTAAACTTATTTACCTACACGAGTTAGAGGGATTTTTGTGTATCTGGATCCAGAATTCTTTCAACAAGCCAATGTACTGAGAAAAGTGATCTCTTGAGTTTTGGAGTTGTTTTTATTAAAGCTAATAACAACACAAAAGCCAAGTCATCGATGGTTAATTAGTGTAGGAAAAGAGATGGTTAAAAGAGTTAAGATGACAAGAAGACTAAGAGGCCGGCCAAACAAGTTTTGAACACAAGTGGATTGTTCCATACTGGTTCATAAAGTCGTCGATAACATACAGCAATTGCAGTGGAGCTTCCAGGAGTACATCCAACAATTGCAGTGAAACATCGAGGAAGTTGCTAGTGGAAAAAATAGCCCACATCTGATCTCAACTGATGTAGACTTCTCCAAGGTAATTTGACTATTTCCCCTACGATATTTGATTAATTACAACATTTTGGTTCACCTATTTAGGCAGATGCTCTTCGATCAGTTCGATAATATCCCTATGCTATTGAAAGACAAACTTTGCTCTACTTCCCAATAATGAGACCTCCCAAGTTATTCTTTCTGCTATTTCTCATCCTCGTAGTAGTCACAGTTCCATTATATTTTTTGGTATCGATTACAAGTGTTGCTGTGGCTGCTGGGGTGACAATTGCAGTGTTTACTGGTCTTGTCCTGCTACAGAAGAGACGCAATAAAAAGAAGAAGCAGGGCCATTTTGAACGAAATGGAGGTCTTCTATTGGAGAAACAATTATCTGCTGCAGATGGTGCTATTGAAAAAACTAGAATTTTCATTTCTAGGGAATTGGAGGCGGCCACTGATGGATTCAACGAAAGTCGAATACTTGGTCAAGGTGGCCAAGGTACAGTATATAAAGGGATCCTAGCCGATGGAAGAATTGTGGCAATCAAGAAGTCGAAGGTTGACAAAAGCCTGTTGGGGCAGTTCATCAACGAGCTCGTCATTGTTTCGCAAGTTAATCACAGGAATGTGGTAAAACTTCTGGGTTGTTGCTTGGAGACAGAAGTTCCTCTGCTTGTCTATGAATTTATCCCTAATGGAACCCTATTTAACCTCATTCAAAACGACAATGAGGCTGAATCCTTCCCTTTTACTTGGAGCTTGAGATTAAAAGTAGCCACAGAGGTAGCAGGAGCATTGGCATACCTACACTCGGGGCTTTCAATTCCGGTCTTTCACAGGGATATCAAGTCCACCAACATATTGTTGGATGAAAAATACATAGCTAAAGTATCAGACTTTGGAGCTTCATTGTCCATTCCAATTGACAAAACCCACATGACTACTCGAGTCCAAGGGACTTTCGGCTACATCGATCCAGAATATTTCCTGTCGAGCCAAATTACTGACAAAAGTGACGTTTACAGCTTTGGGGTGGTTCTTCTTGAGCTCCTGACAAGACAAAAGCCCATACCTTCCAGAGAAGAAGGAGAAGATGTCTATTTAGGATTGGCGCAAAGGTTTCTGAGATCCATGGAAGAGAATTCTCTTCCAACCATTCTTGATCCTCAAATTATAGATCAAACAAATGAAGAGGAGGTCATTGCTGTTGCTAAACTTGCACAACGATGCATAAACTGGGATGGAAGGAGGAGACCAACTATGAAGGAAGTTTCCATCGAGTTGGAAAACATCAAAATGTCGAGAGGAGATTTAACTATTCAAGAAAATTATCAAAGTCCAAGTTGCACTGACGAAGAAGCTGTTGTGATGTGTGATGTTACCACACATGGACAATCGGAAATGAGAACGTTAAGTCAACTTCAGATGCCTACGCGGTATTGAACAATCAGCGCTGGCGGGAAAATGACACGGCTGGAAAGGGCAGTCGCCCCTAAGAATTCCACAAAATGTTTGTATGCACTGTGAGCTTGGTGTTCAAGAAACAACTTCCTGTGGTTATTTTCTTCCCCTCCTTCTTTCCCATTTTTTTGTGGGACAATGTACTGTGCTTTAGCGTCCATCAGTGTGTTTGGATAGAGCATTATTTGAAATAATTATTGTAACGCTTTTTGTAACATGATGAATGTAAGATAAAAATGTGGTTAAAAATATAAAAAAATATGTTAAAAATATGTTTATAATGTAAGCGAAATATTATTTATAAAAATGTAATTACAAGACTAACCCGTTAATTTAAAACTAGTCAAGTTGCCATCACACGTTGTGTGAGTCAGTCCCAATCTTTGATGCCCTGCTGCAATGTAGTAGCATAAAGATAGATAAGATGATAACATAGAGTGAAAGTTGTAAATTTATAGAGAAGTTATCCGCAGCAGGGTCAAGATATTTACCATGAACAAAATAGAGGTGTTTTTAGCATAGGCTGTCTTTTTTTTTTACTTGGATAAATCATGTTTCACTTGACTTGAGGTTATAATTTGCTGGTAAGAATGGCTTAGCAAGTCAGTCTGGACTATTGAATGTTGACAAGTTGGACGTAGACATTTCACGTAAAATATCTAAATCCTGCCACCTTCCTAGCAATTGAAGAAATGCATCTTAAACCAATTCAGTTCAGCTCTTCTGCTTAGTGAAAATTCCTCAAATGATTGCTTGTGTCATTCTTTTACTTTGCTTTAATGGCTACGTTTCTAACTTGACTCACAGACTTTTGCATCTAAATGCACCACTATGATAGTCGACAAAATCCCCCATGCTCCTACAGCCCTCTGCATTTGCAACATTTCAGACTTTATTCAGAAGTTAAGAAATAAATAATTTGGTATGAGCAATTTGAGCTTAATCTGTATGTTATTTGTGTTTCTTTACCTCATTGTCCAATCATTGGGGCGACACGAATTCCAATGGCGAAGCCAGGATGCATTGATACCTGTGGAGGAGTGACAATTCCCTCCCTCTTTGGGATTGGTCCTGATTGTGCTCTAAATGAAGCATTCACCATAAGCTGTACTAATGTCTCTGGCGATTCCATGAGCAGTTCAAAGCAGTATCTGGGGTGCTTTAACCTGGAAAAGGTTCCCAAGAAATTGTTGAGGTGCTGGAAATGTCCCTGAGCGATCAAACAGTAACCATAAACTTACCCTTGCTCCAAGTTTGCTGGTGTGATTCATTTGATCGGGCCATTGCAGAAGGTTCCCTCGCCGAAGCTCCTTTCTTTGTTTCCAGAGAATGCAACAAGTGATGTTTCTTGGCTGTGGAAATGCTCTCTTCAGACCGAGACTTGGCAGTCCAGAGATCTTGTCTGGTTGCACCTCAATGTGTGGCACCAACAACATAACCGGTTCCTGTGCCATCAATTCCTGTCAAGCAAGCATTCCCTGCTACTCAGCTAATACAGTTTTCAATTGCACGTAACGCTTTGCAGAGCTTTGCATCCAATACCTGTGCTTATGCCTTCTTGGAGGACCAGAAACTGAAGTTGGAGAACTATTCGGACCCTCCAAAATTGCCTTTGAGATATGCTCCTGATGTGTGGTCCTTGCCCCTAAACTCTTCTGATATTGATTCCATCTCAGGTTGCAATCCTAAAAGAAGTCCCTTTTGAATTACAATCCAGAGCCATTTTCACTTATCAGTGTGAATGCAAAAGCTTGGGGAATGCAACTTGGTTCTATGAATTAAACCCATATTTAGATTTTAGATGCTGCTTGCCAACATGATAAGCTGTAAAGAGATGGTTGAGTTTATTAGTTTGGCCTTCTTGCTTGTGTTCACTCCTTCTGCTCCAATTGATCCTCCTTTTGGACATTAGTCTAATACCCTTTTTTTTTTGGTGATTGCTTGCTTCTTTGGTCGAAGCCAACCCCCAAATCAAGGGAAGGCGTGAAGAAATAGTTGATATTGTTGCTAACCCACCCTAGATCCCCTTCTTCCCTTCCTTTTGTAAATATTTAAGTGACCATGGCAATGTTCTTCCATTCAATTGATGGTATTTCTAGAGAACGTATTGCACATGTTAGTGCTATTGAAAGAATGTTACAGCAACATTTGTCTGAAAGTAAAGGAAGTGAATGAAGAATGTCACAGAAACATTTTTCTGCGGATGCTATTGAAAGAACACATCTCGTTAGTGCTAAGAAATTGAGCAAGGCTATTGATGGATTCAATGGAAGTCGAATACTCAGTCAAGGTGGCCAAGTTACAGTGTATAAAGGGATGTCAACTGATGGAAAGATTAGCAATAAAAAAGGTTGAAATGTTACTGACAGTCACTTTGAGGATTTCGTCAATGAGGTGGTAATTCTGTCACAAGTCAGTCATAGGAATGTGGTAAAACTCCTAGGTTGTCGTTTGCTTATAGAAGTTCCCCTACTGGTTTATGAATTCATCCCCAACCGAAGCCTTCATAATCTCATACATAATCAGAGTGATGATGATTTCCGCTTCACTTATAACTTGAGACTAAGAATAGCCATAGAGATAGCAGGGTCACTGGCATATCTGCATATTCTGAAATTTCAGCTCCCATCTTACACAGAGATGTGAAATCAAGCAACATACTTTCTGGATAAATATATATATATAGCCAAAGTATCCGACTTGGGAACTTCGAAATCTATCAATGTTGATAAAACTTACTTACCTACATGAGTTAGAGGGATTTTTGGGTATCTGGATCTAGAATACTTTCAATCAAGCCAATGTACTGAGAAAAGTGATCTCTTGAGTTTTGGAGTTGTTTTTGTTAAGCTAATAACAAGACAAAAGCCAATACCTTCCAAAGAAATAGAAGAAGATTTTAGGAGTCTGGCAGACAGTTTTTAAAAAAATCCATGAATCCGAATTCTCTGAAAACAATCCTTGATCGTCAACTTGTAGACGAGAGAACGAAGAAGAGGCTATTCTTGTTGCTAAACTTGCCCAAAGATGCTTAAACTCAAGTCAGGAGAGAAGACCAACTATGAAGGAAGTAGCTATTGAGTTGGAAGCCATTAAAATATCCAAAAGGGATTCAACTATCCAAGCAAATTATCATAGTCCAAGTTGCATGGACGAAGGATCTGTACTGACTTCTGATATGCATCATACACTGACAATTGAGAGTGAGAGCATTTCTGGTACAGATGATACATGGACAACTGGAACTGAGACCATTAGGTCAGATTCAAGTGTCAAACCCTTAGATGTCTAGTGCAGTCGAATTCAGAACTCATAATCATTGACTCTGAGCATATAACCTGCTATGGAGTGGCATCTTGGTTAAGCAATTTGGATGAGTAATCTGTCAGCAGTGAAAGAACCATTTGAACCTGGATAAAGCAGGATTTGAGCAAAACCAAAATTTGTAGGCATCATTAGCTAGGTCTTAGAGCTCAATATGCAGCAAAATGATACTATTTGTAAACCGATGAGCTAAAGTACGTACTTTACCATAAGTTGTATAGTAAGATAATACATCATCTTCATTTCAAGTGTTCCTTCAATACTTTATTCAAAAGAAGAAACTTCATTTCGAACAAAGAACAAACCAGAAGAACCATCATCAGGCAGCAGAGCTAGTCTTACTGGACTTTCAGCACCTTCTTCAACAGTTAAATGACCAGTATTGAAGTTTACATCTGTTTTTACAAAACCAGGACAAACACAATTTATACGAAACTTTGGGTGCTTTTTAGCAAGAACCCTAGTATATGCATTCATAGCTGCCTTTGAAACTGTATATGCTGACATAGATGGAGGCCAACCTTTTGCTTTAAGTGAACCCTCCTTAAAATCCTTGAGAAATTCATTCACCACCTCATCCACTCTCTCCTCTGTAAGGTTTCCAGAATCATTTAGTACTCCTTTAGCCCATTCACTGGGTATGTGCTGAAACATGATCAAATGAGTCAAGAGCATATTTCCATTAACCATAAGACATGAAAAATGAAAGTATGAAACAGAAAGAGATCATCTTTAAAGACACAGCACGTTTGGCCAAGGTACAACATTAGCATTGTCTCAACAACTTAGGCAAGTATGACATTTTAGTTTGTCAGGTCTAGTCAATGCATCTGTATCCTGTTTCCAACTAAGCTTGGTGTAAAACAGCACTCATTTTAGGTCCTAAATTTCATATGCAAGAACACAATCTGAGATTTTAGTACCTTTAACTTTCCCATTGACGAAGAAACATTTACGATCCTTGGTGAATCAGATAAGTAAAGGAGAGGAAGAAATGCTTCAATCATTCTTTTTGCACCATAGTAGTTTGTCTGCAGACATTCTACTGCCAAGTCATATGTCTCAGTCAAGATGCCATTCCAATCTATATGTGATCCATCAGGCTGCATGATTGAAGGTAATCAGCACTTCAACAACTAACTAAAGTGAAGGGCAATTATTCAACTACTTGCTATGTATTTGCACAATTCAACTTATTCAGAAGGGAGGGATTCCTGCAAAGTTACTGTTTTTTTGTTTTCCAGAAGATAGCATTGCCAACACATGGCTAGTGTAAACAGAAAAACTTAGGAGAAGAACACAAGATAACTGTAATGGTGATAAAACATTACTCTGCAAATAAGGTTGAATGATTATGAACATTACACACATCATCAAACTTATTAGTTAGAAAAATGCATCACAATGTGTAACCATAGGTATGTGCACATATAAGTACATCAAAACACAAAAGAGAAATCGGTTTCACAGTTTGGGTTGTGGCAATTAAAGATGACCTTTGCAGGTCAAAAGGCTTCAAACTTGATCTTTTCCTAGAAGATATTTGGTACGAAGAGCTCTGATTTGCAAATCCTAATTGATTATTGCAAAGTTAGAACTAATGAATTCATCTCTTTTCAAACAAAATGCAACTTCGGCCAAGGAAAATGTTGCTCGCAACTGGACAATTGTAATGCTAATACTATCCAGAGGAAGCAATTACAGACAATATTGGAACCAGAATACTCTGAATTGATAATGAATTCTAAAAACATTTACACTTTCAGCCTTCAGTTTTCAGCAGCAAGTATGAAACAATCATTAACTCCAAAACTAGGGTACCATAACCTTGTTATTATTCTACAGAAGCTCTAACATGCAGCTGTAAACATAAGTAGCTTCCCATGGGTGCTAAGAATCATGACTAAGTATGAATAATCATTGCCTGATGCAGATGAAGTAAATCAACATAAATCAATAGCTGTAAATTTCAAGCATCCATTCCAAGGGCTGAAGTCCTCATTAGCTACAATTTCAACATGCATAGTCTATCATGAACTTAGCATCAAAAAATGCCAATTAGAAGCTAACAGTCAGAAATGACTCACTCCACCAGATCCATATCCAGAAGCTCTTAAAGCATCAACATCTACATCAACTCCACCAATCCCTGCATTATTCACCTGGAACACAAAAGCTTATATATGAGTGTCCTATTGATGTTCTAAGTCACAATTCTCGAACTGTAAAAAAGTGAAAAAGTAGATTTTTAGTGCACAGATCTCATTTCCCAACTTCCTGTAAACCCCACCATTTTCTTGCTTCCCAAGAGGAAGAAACTTTCATACACAAGATCATCCCTAAAACAACAGCAGTCAAAAAGACCATTTTTAGTTTTTAACCTGGGGCAATGCTGAAAGAAGTCAAGTTACAAGACTGCAGGGTTGTTACAAAAAGTTACTAAAACATTAAGGTTCTCAACCATGTAGAAGCTAAGTAGACCTCCAAAAAGAGCAGAAGATTATAACAGAAAATGAAGCCAAAGTATTTCGTGCATCCTGTTTTTGTTCGCTAAGATGCCACTACACCAACTTGACAATGCAATTTCATCTTCTTCCCAATAATATCTGCAATTTTATGTCTTCGAACGTAAAGCAATTCATTACGACGATTGCAAAAAATTCGCTATATAAGAGTTCATATCTGCTGATATACACATGAAATGAACCAATTATACGCTTTCAGTAGCAAAAGATTGTCAGAAATTTGGATGCAGACACTAATTTCAAAACCAAGGCATCCAATCCAAAACCTTTTAGAGAATGACTGGGATTATATAAGTACTTAAGCACCAAAAAAAGGCCTAAATAAGGCCCAAGATTGCAAGAATGATTAATATCAAGCTCTTTGATTCAGATTTTGTTAGGTGATTCACCAAGATACTTTTCTTGTACGAAAGTCTGGATTTTTTCCCTTCATCTAGCAAGCAGAGAAAGCATTTTCAGTCGGAAACTACACAGTTTTCAGAATTGGAGCAACTTAATTATTACCAGAATATCAAGTCTTCCATAATGTATTCTGATGAATTCAGCAAGAGATGCAATACTTGAAGGATCAACCACATCAAGCTGATGAAAAACTATATTGTCAAAGAAATCAAGCCCTTTAAAACTCTCAATAGCTTCAAGTCCCCTCTTCAAATTTCTAGCAGTCAATACCACTGTGATTCCATTAGAAGCTAACTGCCTGCAAATTCCATAGCCAATCCCTTTATTTGCCCCTGTCACAATTGCATATCTGCAAGAAAAAGATTAATAACAAATCAAAAAAGAACCAAAAGTTGGTTCTTGATGAAGAATGAACTTGGAGACAGCCCAATTCTTATACGAATTCATAGGACGTTTACCTTTTTTTTGAAGAACTAATTTCTTCTGCCATGGCTGATAAGTTGGAAGAGTGGGCACTGGCCAGGAGGACTTAGAATATTACCTTTCCCTCAATTTGATGGATAAGGAATAGTCACATTTCTCGTTGACTTTTCTTGCAAAAAAAAAAAAAAAAATTGCACCTTTAATCAGTACGAGGAGTTGGCGTAAATTTGGGCTGGTGTTTCTGTCACGCTTTTACGAGTAAGTAACAAGCATCTGAAGTCGTGAGTTTTCTATGGCTACAGATATCAGTGAAGCACAAAGGCGTGACAGAAGGTTTACATGGAGTTTGTCCCCGGGTTTATAGCGTGGGGGCTAAGGTGTTGTATGCGTAATTGTTTCGAGGATCCATTTTTTTTTTATCGAAAATCAATTTGATTGCATTAACTTGATATCACAAGGTTTGATACAACACTCCTACTTTCTTTGTAATCGTTTTGTACACTCTCTTGGAGCCACATGGAAAAATTTTACTTCTCATTCAGTATTCATAACTAGTTGAACAATCAACTTTGCTAACCTATGTGCGCACTTGTTTCGAGGATCCAAATTGAACCCCTTTGATTGGTAAGCATGCGATCTTCTCTCTCCTATGAGTTCTCTTTCTCTCTCTACTAGAGCTTTTCCCCCCAATAGTGGGAGCCAAAACTTTCCAACTCTGCAAACTTTTCAAACTTTCAAAAACCCAAAAACAGAGTCTCAGACAAGGAGCAAACAATTAGATACTTTGCAACCAATCAAGGCGAATTTGTCCGCATTTCCAAACAATAACAGTTGTAAGTGCTGATTGTTGTCAGTACAGGAGCTTGCCCAGGTTCCAGGAGCTTCGGACAACTTAAATACAAGCTGGTCGGAGCTAAGAAGATGGAACGTCACAGTACAGAAATTTGCAGCCATAAATGCATGCTTGCTTAAAGCCAGGGTTTCACTTAGGTTTTCTTTCTTAAACTAATTCTCTGCATTAATTACATTTATTGCTCTTCTTTTTTCTTCCTTTTTCTATCTACTTGTTTCTGGTCTCCCAGAAAGGCATTATCTAGTGGAAGTACGCAGATTTGAGTGCTCATCTGTATAAATTTGGTTAGATCTAGTTCATACCTACAGAGAAGTGGGATTTCACCTAAATATCATATTACTACTATGGCGGAAGAGTTGACTGAAATTATGCAAAAGTTTGCCTTAAATAGCCATGAATACAGTGTGACTGACCTAGATGAAGGAGATGCTTGCATAGGCAGGCAGGAATGCCAGACCAGTCTGTTGGGGAGAATCAAGGGAGATAAGATAGCTAATTTTACTGGGGTTAAAAATTTTGTGGCAAATGCTTGGGGTTATCCGAAAGATCTCAAGATGACTGAGCTAGGACCAAACTTCTTCCAGTTCGGAATTAAGGGGGAGGAAACTAGAGAAAGGATAGTCAATGGAGGGCCTTGGATTTTCGATAACCAGATACTTGTGCTGAGTAGGTGGTACGAGGGGATTGAGGATGATCCTAATGCCTTCAGAATAGCACCACTATGGGTTCAAATGTGGAACCTTCCTTTACATTGCATCTCTAAGGAGGTAGGGAAGAAAGTAGGTGCAGTGTTTAAGGAAGTCAGGGAAGTAGTTATTCCGCAAAATGGAGGTAAAGAAGGAAAGCATCTAAAGGCACATGTCATGGTTGACATTTTTCATCCATTGCTTCGAGGAACAACAATCAAAATGAATGGACTAATGAGATGGATTAAATTCAAATATGAAAGGTGTCCTGACTTTTGCTACACATGTGGGATTATAGGCCATAATGAAAAGGCCTGTAAGTCAAAGATAGTAGTAGAAAATGGTCAGCAAGAGAACCAGTATGGTCCATGGTTGAGAGTAAATTCTGGGAAATCTTCACTCCAAAAGGAGAATAACAACTACAAATCTCCTTCCAAAAGGCAATATTGGGGGGTGGAAAATGGGGAACTGGTGAGGAAAGACTCAAAGAGACAGGATGGGGAACATGAAGCCACAACTCCAAGAGGAAAGGAACATCTGGAAGAAAGGGATAAGGAAATACATAAACCAAAGGAGAAAGTGGACTATATACCAAGGAAGTTGAATAAGGAACTACAGGTACAGATTCTGGTCAGCAAGGAAAAAAGGGGAGAAAGTCATACAAGTATTGCCAGTGTGGAGGAAATCATAAATGAGGAAGTCCAGTCAGGAGCTCAACCATTCAGTAGTAACAAGATGGTGGAGCTTTTACAAGAAATGGAAAGATGCAAAAAGCCAGAATTTCAAGGAAATAATGGAGATGATGAGATAATGGTGGACAGGGAGCTGCAAGAACCAAAGAAAAAACCTGGTCTAACCATCCAAGAAGACAGTGGTAACATGACCATGCCAAGTGAGGTACAAGACAAACCTGTGAGTCAAAGCAGCAAATGCACTCAAGTAGAACATCCTCAGAGACAGGAAAGGAAAACAAGGAAAACAGCAAGGATATCAATGGGAAGGGGAAGGAAGGTTTTGCAACAGATTGATGGCAATTGTCTAAGCCAAGTAGGAACGACCAAAAGGAAATTGGCATTGGAGGATGAAAATATGACAGACACTGAGACCATCGAACACATTCAGAAAAAAAACAAAGGAGGAGGCCAGGAAATGGAAATAGAACGATCAGAGGAAGGGGTGGGTGCCAGCTTTCACTGGACCCCAAGTGATCCATGAAGGTTATGGTGTGAAATTGCCAAGGTGCGGGGAGCCCCTTGACAGTTCCCCACTTGAAGGAGTTCAAGCGACTCCTCTCCCCAGAATTGATGTTTCTATGTGAAACTAAGAATAGGAAACAATATATGGAAAAGATTCAAAGGATTCTAAACTATGAACACAGCTACATAGTGGAATCAATGGAAAGAGCAGGTGGCATGGTCTTATACTGGAGTGCACATACCAAAGTACTACAGGTGCAACACACGGCCTTCACTTTAGAGGCTCATATAGAGGACCAAAGCAGCAGCAGTGACTGGTGGATGGTTGGGATCTATGCTAGCTGTGATGACTCAATAAGAAGACAGCAATGGTCAGTCATACAAAGAAGGAAACATCTATGGGGTAATAGATGGATAATAGTAGGGGATTTCAATGACATTTGTTCCAACAAGGAGAAATGGGGAGGAAGGATAAGAGAAGAGTGAACGTTCAATGACTTCAGAAACTTTATCAATGAGAATCAGTTGGTTGACATTGGTTACGAAGGACAGCCTTGGACCTGGAGCAATAACTGGGAGGGGGATGGTGAGATTAAACAAAGGCTTCATAGGGCACTGAGCAGTGTACAATGGAATCTGAAATTTGAAAAGGCAAAATGCACTCACATTAAGTCTCATGCGTCTGATCACAGTGCTCTACTGTTGGATACTAACCCCATGAAAAGGAACAGGAAAAAAAGATTCTTCTTTGACGAAAGATGGCTTCAAAGGGAAGGAATAACTCAGGTAATCAAGGAAGCTTGGGACAAGAATGTAGAGGGGTCCAGGATGTTTCACATTAAGACAAAAGTGAGGAATTGCAGAATAGCTCTACTTAGATGGAGCAACAAAAGTAACAAGAACTCTAGGAAAAGGATTGAGAGTATAAAGGAGAAGTTGGATCAGATCCAAGGAACATCACTGCCAAGTATCAGAAAGGAAAAGGCTTCTCTTAAAATGCAGTTGAAGGAAGCTTACAAGGATGAGGAAATGTTTTGGAGCCAGAAAGCTAGACTCAGATGGCTACAAGAAGGAGACAAGAATACTCAGTTCTTCCATGCACAGGTTAACAGTAGAAGGAAGATGAATAGAATGCAGCAACTACAAAAGGAAGATGGGACATGGACAGAAAATGAGGCTGAACTGGGAGCTGAAATTGGTAACTACTACAGGCAACTCTTCACCAAATCAACCGAGAGTAGTAATCATGAGATTCTAGCTGGAATCCCAAAATCCATATCTGAGACTATGAACCAGGATCTAACTAAGGATGTAACAGAAGAGGAAATCAAATCTGCAATCTTCTCTATGGATAGCAACAAGGCTCCTGGCATAGATGGGATGTCCCCCCTTTTTTTCCAAAAATTCTGGGATATAATCAAAGGAGACCTGGTAAATGCTATAAAAGCTTTTTTCATTCTGGTAATATGTTAAAGGCTATCAACCATACCATCATTTCCTTGATCCCAAAAGTCCCCTGCCCCACCAACATCAAGCAATACAGACCCATTAGCCTTTGTAGTGTGATTTACAAAGTTATTGCCAAAATTCTAGTCAATAGGCTCAAACCAATTTTGCATCATTGCATCAGCATTAATCAATCTGCTTTTATCCCTGGGAGACACATTCTTGATAACATCATTATCTCTCATGAGTACTTGCATCATCTTAAAAACAAAGGCACGGTAAGGATGGATTTATGGCTGTGAAGCTTGATATGTCTAAGGCCTATGATATAGTAGAATGACATTTTTTGTAAGTTATGATGGAAAAAATGAGGTTCTGTGAAAAATGGATAACATGGATTATGAAGTGCATAAGTACAGTCTCCTTCTCCTTTGACATCAATGGAGAGTGTAAGGAATACATTGTACCAGAAAGAGGGATAAGACAAGGTGACCCTCTGTCACCTTATCTATTTCTTATATGTTCAGAAGGCTTCTCTAGCCTGCTGAAGAGAGCAACACAGACAAGGAATATGGCTGGCATGAAAATAAGCAGACATGGTCCCTCAATAACCCATCTTCTTTTTGCTGATGACTCCCTGATCTTCTGCAAAGCCAACTCTCAAGAAGCAAAGGAGCTGAAGAGGATACTAGAGGTATATGAACAAGAATCTGGTCAGATGGTTAACTTAGACAAATCTAGTGTATTTTTTAGCAAAAATGTGAATTTAGCAACAAAGGAGGACGTGTGTACGGAACTAGGAGGTATTCAACCAGTATCGCAAGGGAAGTACCTAGGATTGGCCATGGTGATATCAAGGTCTAAAGGACAGCTGTTTGGCTACATAAAAGATAACATCAAAACAAGGATGCTAAGCTGAAAATATAAGCTCCTGAGTTCAGCTGGGAAAGAAATTCTGATCAAAGCTGTGTCTATGGCAATGTCTACTTACACAATGTCTTGTTTCAAATTACCTTGCAGGTTATGCAAAGAGATAAGCTATGCTTTTCAATTTCTGGTGGGAGAAAAAGACAACAAGAATAAGGTTCACTGGGTAGCTTGGAAGCAGTTGACAAGGGAGAAAAAACGAGGAGGCATGGGATTCCAGGAGATTCAAAGCTTCAATAGTGCTTTGCTGGCTAAACAGATTTGGAGAATCATCAGAAATCCAAATCTGTTATCCAACAAAAAATTCTGAAAAGCAAGTACTTCCCAAATTGCAGTGTGCTGGATTGCAAAAGTCCCAACAATGCTTCATGGTTTTGGCAAAGCATCATGAGTGCAAGAGAAGAGCTTCAATGGGGGATACAGAAAAGGATAGGGAATGGACTTTTAACAAGAATTTGGGAAGATCAATGGATTCCAAACCAACATTTAGGGAGGCCTGTCACAACCAAGCCAGAAGATTGTCAAGTACAGAAAGTTGCTGATTTGATAGAAGGCTACAGGTGGAATAGGAATCTCATCTTCAAAAATTTCAAAAAGGAAGATGCTGAAAACATTCTCAAGATCCCCATAAGTATTACAGGAAGAGAGGATGACTTCTTCTGGACAGAAAACCAAAAAGGGGAGTACACGGTACAATCAGGCTACAAGGCAATCCAAACTAAGAAAGAACAAGAGGGCAGAGGGAGAAGAGAAAGGATTGAGCCCAGCAACAGACCAAGAAGGAATGACATGTTGAGAGTGCTGTGAAGCCTAAGAATCAGTCACAAAGTTAAGATCTTCATATGGAAAGGCCTGAAAGAAGCAATTCCAATCAAAGAATTAATCTGGAGAAGAATGTCAAAAGGAGACCCTATATGCTTAGGTTGTGGAGAGAAGCTAGAAACCTTGGAACATCTACTGCTGAAATGCAAGAAAGCAAAGGAGATCTGGAAAGCTACACCAATACAATGGGATGGGATTCAGGAGCTGACTGGGAATTTCAACAGCTGGTGGGCTGCATTATCCGAAGCAATTCAGAGAGATCAGGGGATGGACCATATATCTCTTACAGCATATATTCTTTGGCAAATTTGGAAAAGCAGGAACGATAAAGAGTTCAACAACAAAACACATGATCCAGCACAAGTGATCAACAAAGCCTGGAATGCTTGGATGGAGTTCAATGAAGGGATCAAAAAGGCTAGGAGGTGTAGCATTGAACAAACAACAGCACCACTTCAAATGGAGGAACAAGAAGCTAGCCAAAACCCAGACAATAGATCAGCAGGAATGCATATAAGAATAGCAACCAAGTGGAACAAGGCATCAAAGTCCATTGGGTATGGTATTGTAGCAGCTGACTGTAGAGGGCAGGATGTGATGGGATGGAAAATGAGGGAAAACGAAAGCTGAAACCAACTTCAACACGACACTGAAGGTGTAAAGTGGGCGTTGATCAAAGCAGCAGAACAAGGTTGGAGGCTGGTATGTATTGGAGTTCCTGATACAGAACTTTTGCAGCAAATTCAGGGAACAAAAACAGTAGACATGTGGTTAGCTACCCTGATAGAGGACATCCGCGAGCTAAGTAATATGTTTTACAAATGCTCTTTTTGCATAGGAAAATATAAAAGGAATGATCTAAGTTGTTTGTTTAGCGCTCAAGCTTTGAGCAATTATTTTGATGTAGAATGGGTCAACCCCAATCTATTGTGCTAAATGCACATTGTAAAGCATCGAGCAAGTCTCGCCTGTATATACTTATATTCCAAGCAATATAATCTTATCGTTTCGACAAAAAAAAAAAGATTGGTAAGCATGCAAAAAAGTTGTTCATACTTGGATCTTTGGATATCTTTGTATGTAAACATGTCTTGACTGATGGTAATTGTCAAGATTTTTGAAAGTTTAATTCTACAATTATTATTTTTTATCACTGGACGTCTCTTTTGTTTGTAGTCCATATTTGCATTAAAAGAGCCAAAGTTTTTTGGGGCAGTGTTTTAAAAGTTAGGTAATCCACCTTTATTGTTAGACGTCTTTCTTATATGTAGTCTGCATTTTTATTGAGAGAGTCAAAACTTATGAGAGCAAGGAATTAAACGTCGAATAAAATTAAAGTGTGTATTGTACCTGTACATAGTCCCATGCTACAGAAGAAAAATCATTAATTTTCCATGTTGTTGAAACTTAAATAGGATGTCCTTCACTATTAATGGTGATGCTTTTCCAAGGTATCATAATTCATAAAAACAGTTAAATTTCACTCCTTTATGAGTATTGTGTGAGGACTTAATTAAGAAGGCGTGAAATTTGGTGTCAATTTTAAACAATGGCTTTAACACAAAGACGTGGCTTAGCATTCCTCCACTAATTGACACCTTGAATAAATAGGCCATGCTAGAAAGCACGTGAAAAATGACCTCGCATTCAGGGCCAAAATTATAACAAACTGGAACCTTTGGGGGCAAAGTGCAATTACCCAAGCGAGAAGCTCTGAAAATACAAAGGGATAATTTCATAAACCTCCCCTGAGGTTTTATGAAATATCACCTAGCTCCCTTGAGGTTTTCAAAATCTCACTTAGCACCCCTTGAATTGATATTTTGGTAACATTGAAAGCCCTTCTAACCAAAAGTAATATTAAAAAAATTCATGTTTGAGGAGAAAGATTATTTTAGTGCCTTTAATACCCTTAGGCCATAAAAAAATGAACATTTTACAAACCAAGAAAAAAAAGTACTAAATTAGAACCATCTTAAAAGTGGATAGATGAAAAATGGTAAGATTTTATGTTATAGTCAATGTCACTTCTACAGTAGGAAAAGATAGTAAAAGCAAAATAATTGTGTTTGGACAGCTGATTATTTGTTCAAATATATTTGCTTACATCACCATTACAATTTTCAATACACCTTTTTTATCTTCCTAATTATCTTTTTATCTCACATACATCACATCACAAAAAATATTATAGTAAAAATATCTCAAATAACTTACAATCCAAACACTAAAACCATTTCTATAAATAGAACCCTTCATAGCATTGAAGGTAATTAGCATGTAAAATCAAATATTTGAGTAAAAAAAACTTAGTAATAGACGAAATTCAATTTCAATATCATACAAAAAATTTACTCAAAATAGACAGAATTTTTTTATGGGTGTGAAATATGAAAATTTTATTATAGAAAAAGTTAGACTTTAAATAATTGTTCGGAGTTTCAATTAGTTTATTTCTCTTACGCTCTACATGAATAGGAATAAATAAATAAATAAATAAAGTTGTGAAACACCATAGACATTGTTAAAGAAAAGTAGGAAATTTAGAGAAAGAAAAACAAGTTTAGAAAATTTAAATATGAGGGTATTATTGACAATTCATCGCCCTTGATATTAGTATATGGCCCTACTATCACTTTAAGGGTGCTAAGTGAGATTTTGAAAAGTTTAGGAGATCTAGGTGATATTTCATGAAACCTCAAGGGAGGTTTCTGAAATTATCCCAAATACAAAGCAAAGCCCGGTTGAGTAAAATAATACCGTACTAGGGCACAAATTTTGTTCCAACCCAGTGCAGCTTCTCCAAAGGACTTGTTCAAAACCAGGTGAGCAAATTTTGCTTTTACTTCGATATTCAAATTCATTTGTAAACAGAATTTTGGAAATTAGTAAGAAATAGAATTGAAATCCCAACTCAGAATATTACTATTTTGATTGCAAAAAATCCTTCAGCAGTAACTGTTTCATGAATTTCTCACATTCTTGACTACAATCCAAGACTGATAACAATGTAAAAAAAGAACCCTTTTTTTTCTGGTATGGGGAAATTTCCAATTAGTTGTACGATATTTGTGTGTGATTTGGTGGTTTTAAAGGATAGGGTTCTTGGTGAAGGAGGGATTACGTGTATTATTAGATGAAAGATTATTGTTATTTGCATTGAATAAGAATTGAAAATGCTCGGCTTTCCTAAGTTTTGATGTAGAGTAGTTAGTTTTCGTTCGTTAGTTTTGTAGCTCTAGATTCTACATTTTTCTGACTTGGAATTTTAATTTTGCTGTTGGATTCATTTAGGCAAAAGGAGGAGGAAACGGGGGAGAAGAATAGGGAAGGGAAGTGGGAATATGATGGAGCATGAGTCTAATGTTAATCCTACCCTTAGCAAGAGTACTGGGCTACCTCGGAAACGATTTTATCGTGCTCGGGCACATAGCAATCCATTGAGTGATTCCCATTTCCCTGTTCCTGTTGCCCCTTCTCAATTTGATTATTTCAGTCATTATCCTCAGATATCTAATGATTCCAAAAAGATTGAGTTTGCGGACATAGGTTGTGGTTTTGGAGGGCTTTTAATTAGCCTTTCAACGCTTTTTCCTGCAACCCTTATGATTGGAATGGAACTCAGGGATAAGGTGACAGAGTATGTAAAGGAAAGGATTTTAGCACTGAGGACTGGTAATCCTGGGCAGTACCAGAATATTTCAGTGGTTCGCACCAATTCGATGAAGTACATTCCCAATTACTTTGAGAAGGGGCAGCTTAAAAAGATGTTTTTTCTGTTCCCGGACCCTCACTTTAAAGAAAAAAATCATCGCCGTCGTGTTATTAGTCCTTACTTGCTGGATGAGTATGCTTATGCTCTTGCAGTTGGTGGAATTATTTACACCATTACTGATGTGGAAGAACTGGGGGAGTGGATGAAATCTTGTTTGGAGAGGCACCCATTGTTCGAACCCCTTACTGTGCAAGAGCTGGAAGATGATCCGGTTGTAAAGCTTTTGAGTACTGCTACTGAGGAAGGACAGAAGGTTGCACGAAATGGTGGACAAACATACCAGGCAGTATATAGACGCAGAACTGGTCCTATTGAATGATCAATCATGCTTGCTTGGTTGCATCTCGCAGGTCCTTAGACTTTCCCACATTCTCTTGCTCTGCCAGTAGAGAATGTAGTTTTGTGCTGATAGTATAGATTTGTGAAATTTTGGTATTGAGTGTACCATTGATTTATGTAGAACAAACTCATTTTTGTAGGCTAAATTCATTTTTCCCTTCCATAGTTTCCTATTGTGATTTCTAGCTAATTTTAGTGCATATTCATAGCACTGTTTGATTTTGTTTCACGATAGATATGAAAGGGCTAAACATGGTAGAATTTTGGTATCTTTGTTACACGTTCAATTGGTGTAAATGTAATTTGTCAGGTGAACTTCAACCTTGTTAACTACTAGTCGATCATCTTTTCTCAAGCAACAAGTGAACTTCTTCTGGTCTAGGAGATGCACAAATCCTTAAAGTGCATTCCATAACATGCTGTAGTGCATTTCTTTTACACCAGAATAAGACGTTTTTATGTTTGCTCTCCCCAAACCACCCCCAACCCCCCCCAAAACATCCCCCTCTTTTTCTCCTTTTTAAGGAAAAATGAGAGAGGCTATGAAACACCAGTATTTTATTACCTACTGACTGGCTTTGAGAAATGCATTATGGCTCCTGTGATGCTTTGGGATTATGGTAATTTTATTTTTCAACGAATCGAATCTGTTGAAGACTATATACACCTGTGATGAAATAGATTTGATTGTGAAGTTTCTTTTCTGATTTTACCTTTCACCTTTGGAATGCAACTTTGCAAGTTTTTGTTGAGTTGATAATTTGGGAGCACCTAACTGATATTTTCATTAATAATCTTAATGTAAGATTAATTCTTCTGAACCGTACCTCTTTTATGTTTTGGAGTCTTTGATGAATATTTGTAGTGTAGG